CTCGCTATAGCACCGCACGGGGAGTCTGTCTCAAGGGGAGGGGCTTGATGGCTGCCGACGTGCTGTCGTTGAGAGCGACGATGTGATCTGAAATGATCGCGGTCTCCTTCAATCACCGTAGAGGCTCTAGAATGTTAGAAACCGTGTAAGGCGAGACATAATAAACACACATGTAGGCATTTCCGAACTTTTCGCTAAATGCGGCAGTTATAGTGGTAAGTACTACATATCGGTGTAGACTATTTATTGGTGCTTTTTAGTCAAATGTATATACTAATAAAACGGCATTTCATGTATAAAAAAATCGCATACTATTAACTGCGCTATTATCGGTTAGAAGAAAATGTAAATAATGTTAAGTCATCTAGACCTATTTGTCACCTCGCACAGGACGAATAAGTTTGGAAGGAATGCGACAAAGATGGCTGCGTTGCGCGGCGACCGATAAACAAGATGGCGGATCATGCAGCTCATTCTGCTACGTGATTAATATCAGTATGTGATATAATCTATGTGTACGCCATAAGTCTGTCGGCAAAATTTGTTATTGCGTCACGATTTTTGTTACCACGATTTGTTTTCTATAGTTGATTGATGTGATAGGGGTGTAAAATCATGTGATATACTGTAGGCCAGTGCTCATGATGACAATGTTATAGGCCCTAAACCTGTTACATCGCGCATATTAGACGACTGTTACAATGTTGACGATAATGTAGAGCTATAATTCATTATTTAGTATGCGTATTGCATTATTTAGCACAAGCTTTTGAGTGATAAATATCTCGTATATCTTTCTGCAAGGATATCGCGCGGGTCACCTTTTCCCCCACATGGCGCAACTTCATATACCACACTACTGATGCGATTTTTCTAATATTGCTAAAATTATGCGTATGAATCTGCGAGAGGGAACGGAAGGCCAATTCCCACTTTCCTTGTTAAATTTCATGCCATTTTCCAGTTTCCATCTAATTAAAATTACAATTTCGGCTTTCCCAGGTCTCGGTTGGCTTCTATTCCCAAATCGCCACAAATTTATCTGCTGTTTTCCTGGTTCTTAGATAATAGTGAAATCCCGCGTCCCGATAATAATTAACCATTTTCCCATACCCCTCATCTGCCCACTCCAGCACGGACTGCTATTATTCAATCTAGTGTGCTCTGACTGCAAGTGGCCACGGTGCCGATTATACATACGAAGCCGTATTTACTACCTGTGATTCGTTAGAACAGCTGCAATCGATCGGGACCACAACGAAGCACGAACCGCCCGGAAATCACCCTCGGCCCCAACATTTTGTGTGCTTATAAATGCTTTATGTCAGGCGTGCCACTACACCACGAGACATGCAAAAAAGACAAATTAACTCGTTGCTGAGGATCACAGGTAACGGCATATACTCAGACCCAACCATCGGGTCGAATCCATTTCGGCTAAATTCAATATAGGTTGCATCAATATTAAATCAAACCCGATGTAAACTTCATGCGACCAGCGAGTCGAAAGTTGCCGTTGAAAGTTTCGTGCATTGCTTTTAAGAGAATGCCAGCTAGCTACAGTAATCCAGAACTGCAACCACAGCAGTAACCACAACACCCAAAACCAACAACAACAAAAACGAAAACAACAATATCACCACCAACAACAACAACGACGACGACGGCGATGACGACAACAGCAACAACGACAACGATGACAAGGACGACAAATGTGGCGACGCCGACGGCGATAACGGCGACAACAACATCAGCAACGAGACGACGACGACGACGGCGACGACACCAACACAGCTAACCACAACCATGACGACTACTACCGCGACTGCAAGTGCAATCACGACTTCAAGAAACCTAAGCCATAACCTCAACCAACAACCACGTCCATCGCACACACAGCTACAGTCACTGCGCAGTCGCTTCCCCCAACAAAACGACTAGCTACTCAGCCAGCACAGCTACAGTCAAATCAACGTCTAGTAACTACTAGTACAAACACATGCTCACACATGCACACACACCCACACACACACCCACACACACACACACACACACACACACACACACACACACACACACACACACACACACGCGCGCGCGCACACGCACACGCAGCGGTCGATTAATGACACTCGCCTCCGGAATATCTTCTATGTATATTATGACAGTGTCCAAGTGTCGAAATCTGAACAGCACGCACCTGGTGCCCAGTGATCACTCCCGGGAGAGCTACGTGTTTGCTAGCTCTACCGGTGTAGGTCCTTCGCTCCCGCTACATGTACAGGCTTCCTGTAGCGGGAGCGAAGGGGCTACGCCGGTAGAGTCACGTATTTGCACGTATAGAACTAACTACTGGTAATCCGTTACAGATTATCGTTCCAACTTAAAATAATATGACAACGCTAAACCAAATAGGTCACCTTGCGCATTAGGGAAAAGCCGCCATACTCGGGCAGGTGTTAGAAGCAGTGTGATTTGTGAACGTGTATATTTGCAATAAATACCTGCATTTTCATAAACTGCCTTTGCATAAATAACCCATGATATATAGTTCTTGCTGCTACTGCTTCTGCTGCTGCTGCTTCTGCAATTATCCCATATCTGTCCGCAAGGTGTACGGTTGATTCTTTTGCTTGTTCATTTAAAAATGGCGATAAACCTTTATAAGCACTTGTTAAAACACTTGTTGAATACTTGTTACATTAGTTAGCGTAATATCTCTATTCTGTTGATGACGTTATATGATGAGTGTGACTGTGTAGCCTTACCAATCTGAACCTCAGTAACAAAAAGACCCATCTAACAAACCCAACGTACAGAATAATTTCAGTGATTACTATAGCTGCATTCAGGTGTTTCTCTTGTATAGTTTTACTGTTAATTTGAGAGGTTATGGTACGTAGATTTATTATTTGCCCTGTTTCGTCAGCAAAAAAATAGACGATAGTTGCAAGTTTGTTAAAGAAAAGGGTATGATCACCATGGCTAAGCATAACTAGTACACTTTCACTTTAAGCCATCTTACTTCAAGAGCACAATGTCAGGCAGCGGTGTAACAGTGGCGGCTGTTCGTCCTGCTGGCTATGCATACGTCTTTCGATGTGTTTTCACGGAACACCGAAAATGGCGCCAAAACGATCTTCTGAGGAAACGCAACCGCTTTAGAATTTTTCTAACCAAATATATGAACCGCCGGCTGTGGGTGTAATGATACCGTGTACGTATTTATCGCATACGTCGCAGAGAACACTAACATCGACCCGCGGATATATAAGAAAAACACAAGAAAAATGACACACGACTTAATACGCGGTACTACTGTATGTGCGAAAGGTATCTGGCACTACACTCTTCTATAAATATAGATATATATATGTGTAATTAAAACTGGTATCTTTAGGCACTGAGTTCACGACTGGTGATTGTGTCAAAGTGTAGAGGCAAGATCTTACTGCCATTTGCAGAGCCTATAGCAAGCAGTACACTGGCTGCATCAGTTATAAGATTATTGATGTTTTGGCTGCACTCGTCGTTCCTTATTGTAAGCCCTCGATCCATTAGTATTATACTCGAGTACAGTTGTAATACGCGGCAAAGTTGTGTAGGCTGAGCAGGCAATGTACTGTAGAAAGGGATCACATACATATGCGCCCGAATCTGAGCACGAAGAGGGAATGGTATGTGTACCTAGGCAAGAGTATAGTTGGAACTAATAATGGAGCGCTTTATTCCGACGTGTAGTTATTTGCTAAACGAAAAACGTTAGCTGCGTATTCGGCTCGTAGCCTCGTAGGCTGTGCACGAAATCTTATTTAGTGTTAAAACTATTTATTTTGTATATAGGGGCATACAGACGTTTTATTTTGTAGGGTTTGTATATACTGCAGTTGTGTTGCAAAACATTGAAATGGCATTACATTTGTTGAATAAAAAACACAACATGAAATACAAAACATGCCATGTTATTACGTTTTCTTCTCGGCACGTTGTAATGCGGTTATCTGCTATAATAGTTTTAGCTAATCAATAACACAACTCGCCATTAATTCTGCATTGTTTCATAAACGGGTTAGTATAATATTGGGTGAAATAGATATCACGAACATCTACTTTTGATAACTTATAACAATGGATATAGATTCTCTTTCTTCACCTGTCTTCTCCCTCCTCTCTGTCTTTCCCTTCACTCTCTTTCCCTTCCTCTAGCTCCTCCTTCCTCTCTCTCACTCCCCATCACTTTCCTTCCGCCATCTCTCTTTCCCCATTTCTCGCGCGTGGGCATGGTGGGTTCGTAAGAAGACAGAAGGACTGGGTGAAAATGGTGTAAGTACATACTGAATGAATATCGCAGGGCATTCATTTATATTTACTTGTTCTGCTGCATTGCTATACCGCCGCTGCGTATCGCAAGTCGCTTTTTGCGTATTTATTTACATCGCGGAAGATGCAACGGCGTTCGATATGCAAGTAGAAGCTACGAGAAAGCGAACAGTGATTGCGCATTTTCCCGAGCAAATGAAAAGGGAAATGCACCTAGTCACTGCCCGAGCGCCATCTATGATCGGTAGTGGCACAACTGCAACGGCAAACTGCATGCAGCGCCCGGACAACCACGGAGCTCTATTAATGAACTAATTTATACTATTAAAGTAAGACATTTCGGATAAAAACTCCGGAGGGGGTGAACGGCTGCGCGTGAAACGTACACCACGTGTCGACAATGATTCGGTATCCTGCCTTTCAACTTTGGAAGAAAATGTAACCTCCGAAAATGTGATTTTGCGAGGGAAACTATGAAAATATGTATACAATCTATAAATAGAACGAGGGATATCTGTTGTCCATCCCCAGTGGCCGAATGCATAAAGCATCGGACTCCAAAACCATTGATTCTGCGTTCGAATCCCACCTCAGGAAATTCTGTTTCTTTACTTTTGGACTGTTTAGTATGTACTTTAGTAAGCTAACAACGCATTTTAAAATTAACGCTGTAAGATGTG